AACAGTTGATTGTACTTTTTCAGTTGGTGAATCATAATGCTTTTCCAATGGGGTTGGCGTAACGACCGATTCATCTGTTAGCACTACTTCAAAAAGTGTTGTCAAAGGTAGATCAGTTGCGAGTGTCTCAGTGGGTTGTGATGCAGTCTCTTCTTCTTGGTCTTCCACTGGGAAATCATTAAAGTTAGGTTGTAAATTATATTTGAAGTGCAAAATATATGAAGTGTTTCAGATGACTGCTAAAACTCATTTTGTGAACATTTTCCATGTTAATTCTAAAACGTTTTTATTGAGAAACAGCGTAGATCTCTTACCCATCTCTTCGAGCTGTGGCTCCTTAGTATCCTCAACAACAGATGGTAAGTCCTTATCTTTCTTCAAAGCTGATTCTGTGATCATTTCAGGTAGAGATTCTGAGGCACTTGATACAGTAGTGAGAACATCAGACACTTCTGGTCTTAGGGTTTTTCCCTCTGTAACCAGATCTGGTATCTCAAAAACTCCCTCAATAACCTCCGGTTTGGAGAGTTGATCCTCCACCCCAAAGTCTTCCACATGTTCAGGTTTACCAAATACTGTGCCTGGTTGAACCCTGTCAACTGGCACAAAAGGCAAATTAGCACCTTCTTTGGGTTGGTAATAGTCAACATTCTCAACAAGGTAAGTTTCTGTGACAGAAATCTCAGGTGGTTTAATCTTAATCATCTCTGCAGGAGGTTTGGTTGAACCTTCAGTGGTTTTGGGGACCTCACTTGCGATCTCCACAGCGGGCTGTTCAGTTTTGACACTGCCTTCATATTCTACAACATCAGCAGGTTCTGATTCATCAGCTTCTCTTTCAGGTTTCACCACCTCACCCTTTTCTGTTAAATGAAGTTCCTCCTTAGGTTGTCCTGTCTCAGTTTCTGGCCTCCTGGTTGCCTGAACGTCATCCACTTGTTTCACTTTAATCTCCTCATCAGTTTTATGCTCCTCAACATCTTCTTTCGATTCTATAATGACCTCTGGATCTGGCTCTAAAGCTTTTTCCTCAGGTTCTGCTACTTCATCCTGGTTAGTTGATGTTTCAATCTCATCCTCTG